AGGGACATGAACCACTCAATATTTTCCAGAATATTGACATGAACCACTCAATATTTTCCAGATTAGGGACATGAACCACTCAATATTTTCCAGAATATTGACATGAACCACTCAATATTTTCCAGATTAGGGACATGAACCACTCAATATTTTCCAGAATATTGACATGAACCACCCAATATTCTCTAGATTAGGGACATGAACCACCCAATATTTTCCAGATTAGGGACATGAACCACTCAATATTTTCCAGATTAGGGACATGAACCACTCAATATTTTCCAGAATATTGACATGAACCACCCAATATTCTCTAGATTAGGGACATGAACCACCCAATATTTTCCAGATTAGGGACATGAACCACCCAATATTTTCCAGATTAGGGACATGAACCACCCAATATTCTCTAGATTAGGGACATGAACCACTCAATATTTTCCAGATTAGGGACATGAACCACTCAATATTTTCCAGAATATTGACATGAACCACCCAATATTCTCTAGATTAGGGACATGAACCACCCAATATTTTCCAGATTAGGGACATGAACCACCCAATATTTTCCAGATTAGGGACATGAACCACTCAATATTTTCCAGAATATTGACATGAACCACCCAATATTTTCCAGATTAGGGACATAAACCACTCAATATTTTCCAGATTAGGGACATGAGCCACCCAATATTTTCCAGATTAGGGACATGAACCACCCAATATTTTCCAGATTAGGGACATGAACCACCCAATATTTTCCAGATTAGGGACATGAACCACCCAATATTTTCCAGATTAGGGACATGAACCACCTAATATTTTCCAGATTAGGGACATGAACCACCCAATATTTTCCAGATTAGGGACATGAACCACCCAATATTTTCCAGATTAGGGACATGAACCACTCAATATTTTCCAGATTAGGGACATGAACCACCCAATATTTTCCAGATTAGGGACATGAACCACTCAATATTTTCCAGATTAGGGACATGAACCACCCAATATTTTCCAGATTAGGGACATGAACCACCCAATATTTTCCAGATTAGGGACATGAACCACCCAATATTTTCCAGATTAGGGACATGAACCACTCAATATTTTCCAGATTAGGGACATGAACCACTCAATATTTTCCAGATTAGGGACATGAACCACTCAATATTTTCCAGATTAGGGACATGAACCACTCAATATTTTCCAGATTAGGGACATGAACCACCCCAACCTTCTCCGTGTGATTGGCGCCTGGCTGGAGGGGGAGAGAAAAATTTTGGTGACGGAGTATTGTCCTAAAGGTACTCTACAGGTAGGCTTTTATGTGTCGTGGTCACATGCGATAGCAGCCGTGGCTTGCATGGGATGGGGGAATGAGTTCTTATATATATATATATATATATATATATATATATATATATATATATATATATATATATATATATATATATATATATATATATATATATAGTACATGAAACTCTTTAAGTTTATAGTAAGCGATAGTTTTATTAAAATGTCAGTCTATGACTTCCTAACTAAAAAAAAAACAACTTTAATATGACCACTAAATTGTTTGACCGGTTTGTTGTTTAATCGAAGGCAATACGTCGACGCCCACAATGTCAATAAGACGTGTGGTAATGAAACTAAGCCTTAAAAGTACGCTCATGTCATGTTGCTTTACCATATCAGATAACTGATGAAATACACTATCTGTGTAGCAACGAACTTAAAAAAAAAATTGCAGAAAAAGTTTCGAATGTAATAAAACGCATATTTAAAAAATAAGAGGAAAGGGGGGGGGGGGTATTTATTGTGCAAGTCCATTTGTTTTAAACAGCTCAGTTACCGTTTTTCTAGTCATGAATGCACGACTTCTGTCCCCTTGTTTCCCCTCTGCCCACGCTGGTACCACAAATGTGCCACGTGGTGTTTCACAGGAGGTTGTCATGGACGACACGTTTAAACTGGACACCGTCTTCTCGCTGTCTATCGTCTCGGACATAGTCCGGGTAAGTAGGTCACGAGACGGCGGCCATCTTGCCGTTGCTGTAGTAACGTAATCTAATTCCTTTGTTTTTGGTGTTGATTGTTCCTGCACCATCTCTTGGTTTAGTGCTCGCACCTTTTAAATTAGAAAAGAAATATTTTTTTTTTGTTTCAGGAATAACATCGGTTGCTAAAATAATTAAATGAAGGAAATTTCTCGCGGGGTTGTATAACACGCGAACATTTTTCATTAACCCGCAATGTTTAGAAATAACTCTTTATCGATTTGTCAACAGATTCTTTTATCTAAATCGTAAAATAATTTAGAATCTAAGTTGAAGTAGGGTACATTGATTTACTTAAGTAATGGAAAGATATTTTGAGACAAAGTACAATTTCCCACGTGACGAATAAAATAACTGTAACAATATGAAAAGGTTTGGAAAAAGAAATCTTAATAATTCGATATTTCTTATAATAATACTTTCTATTCTACGAATAATTTTAATATAAAAATCTTCAAGAAAATCAAATCAACGGAATATCATTAATTTTTATTTTAAATCTCTGACACAAGCCTTTCAATTTTCCCGCGTGTGAGCAGGCAATGCTTTGATGTGAAGAAACACAATAAAAAAAAAAAATAAATTCCAGAAAATTTATGCCGCAATAAAGGTTGATAAAAAACATATTGAATAATTATTTTGAAATAAAAACTCTGTAATTTAAAACATCTAACACAGAGGGCACACACAGAGTGGTGATTTATATCGCTTGTCGGATTTACATTGTATAAAAAGTCGACCTAATCTCAAATAAGAAGCAATTTAATTTTATGACGTAAATTTCACACTTGTGAGGCTTGATGAATTTACGAAGTTTGTTTTTATAGACGTTAAATTATCCAGGAGGTTTAACCCTTGGTGACGGAGACGCTTTTAACCCTTGGTGACTATCAGAACTGAAAGCACAATTAAAAAAAAATGTTTTCAAGCTGAGAAGTGAAATGGGGATTACTCTCGAAAAGTGATAATTAAGTTGAAAGATAAAATTTAATTGAAAAAAATGTGGGCCATATGAACTAAGGGGGAATAAGCCGGTGCCATCAACATTCTTATTCCAACGGCGGTTAAACGTTTCTAATATTGTTCTGGAACTTAAGAAATAACATAGCAATGTGTCCATAATCCCTGCTGTTACATGTAATTTCATCAATGAATCAAGTTTTTGTCTAGCAGAAGTCAAAATGATAGAAGTCACACGCACAAGCCATCTTGTTTACATTGTTTTTCTTTTCAAAATAAGCACATCATTGTGTTTCTCATTCATAGGCATTAATCATCACAAAATTCGTTCCCGCGAATGCAATGATTTCTAGCGTGTGATTTTATTGGAAAGGAATCGATTTCTTCTTTTTTGTAAAACTCACTTTACTAAATGACAAAAGTAATCGAGCTAATACTGAACAAATAGACATTGATTAATTTATTTCGGGCAGTATTTTTTTCTCAGTTGGCTGTTAACGTTCATTTAAAATTTTGTCTACTGAAGCTTCCGGTTAAAAGACTGTAGCCTCTTGGAGTATTTACATGACGTCTAGTTTGTCGCGTGTGTGGCTCTCCTTGGCTGTTGGTACTGAAAATGGTAGTTTTGTTTTATGTATCAGAGTCCTGTATTTGTGGTAGATGAAGTCGACGATATAACGGAAAATGAAAGAATGGAAAATTAGATAACACAGGCAGAATAATGGCATGCTACTGTGTAATTGGGGACTAGAATAGTTCATTCTATGACGACTTTGGCAAAAAGTTTAACAAAAAAATCCACAAGTTTTTTAATAGTCACTAGTGTCTTCAAATAATATTTTCTCAATATCATTATCATCCATTTAAAACAATCACTCTGTTATTTTATTAATTCTACAGCGAATACACGGCGATAGCAATAGCTATCTAATGGTCCAAAGAATATACCTGTTCCACCTCAAAAATGTACCAAACTTTTCCGCTGATTTGGTGGATTTCTTATGCCTGTGTCCTATAAGATAATCTACTTTACTTCATACACATATAACATCCGGTAAAGTTAATGGCAACCCCAACCCTAGTCCTACCATACGCCTAACCCTAATTTCTAACCATAAAATTAAACGAGATTACAATACTATCAACAACCTAACACACCTATTTTCGGAAGTCTGTTTTCGGACATCGGTATACCCAGAAAACGAAGATGGAAATCCTGTAACAAAACACTTAATTTTCTACATCACTGTCAACTATTCTCTAGTCATTGTGGCTTACCAAAACACTGTACATTTTCTACATCACTGAAACGTCAACTATTCTCTAGTCATTGTGACTCCCTTTTTGTTCATCCTAATGTTTCCCCCCATGTGAAGTAATTTGTTGAATAAATCGAGCATTTCATGCTAAAGACAGCCCCCCCCCCTCCCAAATAATGCGCAACGAAAAAATTGCAATGGAAAAATACGCATAATTACGCCAAGGAATATTACACTCATAGAAAGAAGCGCAAATTCCTATGTGCGTTTTTTTACGTGTGCGCTGATTTCTGTTTGCGTATATTCCATTTTCATTGCGCATTTTTTTTGGATTACTGTAAACTATCCCCAAGTCACCGTTGTTACCCTTCAAATCCGACATTTGGACACAAAGAACCCAACGCTTGACAAAAGCCAACTCCCAGCATCTCAAGTAGTAGCCTAAAATGACCCCAAAGTCGAACACGCGACCCCAACATCCGACGTTCGATCCCAACACCGGGCTGGACGTGCGACCCTGCGACCACCAGACACCAGACCTCACTGACCGAAATGTCCCGGCTGGACGTGCGACCACCAGACCTCACTGACCGAAATGTCCCGGCTGGACGTGGTACCCTGCGACCACCAGACCTCACTGACCGAAATGTCCCGAATTTCTTGCAGGAGATGCTGGTGAAGGACCGACTCCACCTCGACCTGACATTCCAAACCTCTCTCATCACAGACATTGTCGGGGTAAGTGGCAGACCTCACGCGACATCTGACCCCCCCTCTAATCAGCCATATATATATATATATATATATATATATATATATTTATATATATATATATAAACAGGCATGTATGTATGTCTAAGAACCAAACCCTAATCCTCTAATGCCAGTGCCGACTGGCAATTTGAACAATGATTCCTAATTTAGCGGATGGAGTGTTCAAGTGTTGTAATTTAAATTTTATTCCTGTCCACCCTTTCAGTCTTGTGTACATTGTGTTTTGCATGTCTAAAAACAGCATGCTTGTTTAGAATGGTTACCAGAAAAATGCGCAACGTAAAACTGAGCAACGTAAAACTGCCCACAAAAAAGTGCGCAAGGGCATTTTTGTTTCCTAAATCGAACATTTATGACAGTGCAGCATTATAAAACATTTGCCACAAAATTTGATAGAATTAAAGTGTATTAGTATAATTAATTTGTATTTGCGCATTTTTCAGTTGCGCAATTTACCGACTGCGCATTTTCTGGGAACCGTTTAGAATATAAAAATCAAAGCTATCCTGCCCTAAACTCCTACCACAGTTTAAATTTTTACATTCAATTTTAATTATTTACAATTTTTTTACGTAATTTTTTTTCGCAATTTAAAACCTAGTGTCAAATTTATTGAAACGAAATATAATGTAGATTAAAATATTTCCTGAAATGAATCTTTTAGACCTGGTTAAGTCTTGTGTAGAAATGTGGGTTGTTCAATGTCTATTAAATTATTTCTTGGGTGAATCTTTTATACCTAGTTAAGTCGTGTAGAAATGTGGGTTGTTCAATGTCTATTAAATTATTTCTCGGGTGAATCTTTTATACCTAGTTAAGTCTCTTGCCATACCCGTATCACGTGATGTGTTCCATGTGTTGCCCCAGGCCCTCATGTACATCCACAAACAACCCATTCGTGTCCACGGGCGACTGAACAGCGAGGCCTGTCTGATTGACTCACGCTTCTCGGTCAAGGTCGCCTACTACGGTCTACCGACCATCTACGACAGGATACAGCTTGCAAGTAAACAGCAGAGTAACGAGAAAGGTGGGTTGTCAAAAGCTGGGTTGTCAAATCGTAGGTTGTCAAATCGTGGGTTGTCAAATCGTGGGTTGTCAAATCGTGGGTTGTCAAATCGTAGGTTGTCGAAAGGTGGGTTGTCAAAAGCTGGGTTGTCAAAAGGTGGGTTGTCAAATCGTGGGTTGTCAAAAGCTGGGTTGTCAAATCGTGGGTTGTCGAAAGATGGGTTGTCAAAATATTGGGTTGTCAAAATGGTGAGTTGTCGAAATGGTGGGTTGTCAAAATGGTGGTTGTTAAATCGTGGGTTGTCAAATTGTAGGTTGTCAAATCGTTGGTTGTCAAAAAGTGGGTTGTCAAAAGCTGGGCTGTCAAATCGTGGGTTGTCTAAAGTTGAATTGTCAAATCGTTGGTTGTCAAAAGGTAGGTTGTCAAAAAATGGGTTGTCAAATCGTTGGTTGTCGAAAGATGAATTGTCAAATGGTGGGTTGTCAAAAGTTGGGTTGTCAAATCGTGGGTTGTCTAAAGGTGAATTGTCAAATGGTGGGTTGTTAAAAGCTGGGTTGTCAAAAGGTGGGTTGTCAAATCGTGGGTTGTAAAAAGGTGAGTTGTCAAAAGTGGGTTGTTCACAGGTGGGTTGTTGACTATTGGGTTGTTTGAATGTTGGGTTGTTGACAGTTGGGTTGTCGATAGGTGGTTGGTCAACATGTGGGTTGTCAAATGGTGGGTTGTGTCTCCTGACCAACTATGACAGGATACAACTCACAAGCAAACAGCATAGCAACGAGAAAGTAGGGTTGTCGAATGGCGGGATGTTAACAGTTGGGTTGTTGACAGTTGGGTTGTTGACAGTTGGGTTGTTGACAGTTGGGTGTTGACAGGTATGTTGTAAAAATGTGGGTTATCAAAAAGTACGTTGATGTCTAAAGGTGGGTTTCTTTATGTGGTTTTTAGAAATGTGGGTTTTTCAAATAGCTTAAATTTTTTTTTTTATTCGCCCCAGACATGTAATTTACAGCGTCTGTTGTGTGTTCGCTTTAGTATTAGTTTTCATCACCGGCTTGTGAGGGCTGATACAGATTTACAAAAATAGGCCAGGGGTCGGCAACCTTTTGAAGCGGATGAGCCAAAAGTTACAATTTTCAAAATTTCCCTGGTTTTAAAGAGCCACTAACATTTTTTTAATTTCAAATATTTTATTTTTTCATTAAGATTATTAGTATTTGTTCCGGGAGCTGGAGAGCCGCATCTTGATATCAAAAGAGCCGCATGCGGCTCGCGAGCCGCAGGTTGCCGACCCCTGAAATAGGCAGAACTAGGAAACAAATGTTCTCTAATTCTATCAGACATAAGAATAAAGCAAATTCACAAAGTTTTTATGTGTATAGACAGGGCAAAACTTGAGCTGTAAATTTGTATAGGCAATTAAAAAAATGTTTGTCTCACAATTTAGTCTAAATATTGTATTTGCATTAAAATAACGTAGCCCAGTATTCGTAAATCAATCTCTCTATTTGAAAAAGAAATATTTCCAAAGTTTGTGCATGATTGTGTAAAACAAAGCAGTTAGTTCCCTTTTCACTAACTTGTATTGGTTAGAAATAAACTCCCATGACTGGAGATCACTTTAAAAATTAATCTTAAAATATAAATAAATGACTAGCGAATACACCCACTTTATTTGCTCCATAAAAGTGTATTTATTTGCCTGTTTACCTAACCGTCTGTAGATTTGCTATGGAAGGCACCGGAAGTCCTGAGACCAGGCGGCATAGCAACACCGGAAGCAGACGTGTACAGTCTGGGAATCGTCATCTCAGAGCTGTTGACCAGGGACGAGCCATACAGCCAGGACAAGGAGTACCTGACCATTGAAGGTCTACTCTTTAATTGCTTAACTCATTAATTAGCTTTAACCTACGTCTACTTCCCCTACCTGTCTGTGACACACATCCAAGGCATCCATCAAACTCGAGCGTGTGAAATGTAACCCTAGAATTTTACGGCGTAAGTAAAAATGATTGGGTTGAAGAAAGAAACGGAAGAACTCTGCTTCACCTGCCAATACAACCTTAAAGAGTATTACTGTTTGTAAATAGCCTTGAATACAGGAGCATTCCCCTCCCGCCTCCAGCTGGATTAACTAAAGCCGATTAACCTCAAGCCGGTTTGAGGAAAGTCCGATGTGTATACAAAGCAATAAGGTCACGTTCATTGTTACAACAATCAGAAGCTGAATCCATTAAAAACCTCCATGGTATTGAGGTACCTAAGGCAAGAATTAATCTAATATACTAACAGCACTAAACATAGAACCAACTGCCAGTTGATGTAATATACTAACAGCACTAAACATCTAACCCACTGCCTATTGATCTAATATACTAACAGCACTAAACATCCAACCAACTGCCGATTGATCTAATATACTAACAGCAATAAACATCCAACCAACTGCCGATTGATCTAGTATACTAACAGCACTAAACATCCATCCAACTGCCGATTGATCTAATGTACTAACAGCACTAAACGTCCAACCAACTGCCGATTGATCTAATATACTAACAGCACTAAACATCCAACCAACTGCCGATTGATGTAATATACTAACAGCACTAAACATCCAACTGTCGATTGATCTAATATACTAACAGCACTAAACACCCAACAAACTGCCGATTGATCTAATATACTAACAGCACTAAACATCCATCCAACTGCCGATTGATCTAATGTACTAACAGCACTAAACGTCCAACCAACTGCCGATTGATCTAATATACTAACAGCACTAAACATCCAACTAACTGCCGATTGATGTAATATACTAACAGCACTAAACATCCAACTGTCGATTGATCTAATATACTAACAGCACTAAACACCCAACAAACTGCCGATTGATCTAATATACTAACAGCACTAAACACCCAACAAACTGCCGATTGATCTAATATACTAACAGCACTAAACACCCAACAAACTGCCGATTGATCTAATATACTAACAGCACTTAACGTCCAACCAACTGTCGATTGATCTAATATACTAACAGCACTAAACACCCAACAAACTGCCGATTGATCTAATATACTAACAGCACTAAACACCCAACAAACTGCCGATTGATCTAATATACTAACAGCACTTAACGTCCAACCAACTGCAGGTGTTTTGGCCAAGATTCGAGACGGCCATGATCCGCCGTTCCGCCCTGCTGTTGCCGCCCCACCGGAAATGGTTGCCATAGAAACACTAATGAGACAATGCTGGGATGAGAACCCGAGCAGTCGACCGCCGTTGAATAAAATATTCAACATCCTTCAAGGGCTTATGATGTAGGTATCGGTATAGGCCCGTAAAATTAGACTATGTAAGTACACTCACTGTTAGCTTATGTAGGTACATTTGAAGGCGTTTAACGTTAGCTGACGTAGTTTCAGTTGAAGGCATCTAGTGGTAGACTTGATACCAAATACAATATTAAGTCACAATATTAAGTCACAATAGTAAGTCACAATATTAAGTCACAATATTAAGTCACAATATTAAGTCACAATATTAAGTCACAATATTAAGTCACAATTAATGCTGCAGGCAACGCATTTTTTAAATGAAGACATTGCCAACAAATACACGTATCAGTGTAGCTTTTGTTTTACTAGTAGACGATTTAATTTTTGGAAACCAACATGCTAACATAAACTCCGAAGTGACGTTTTTTTTTAAATTAAGAAAGTTAACGAAGCAAGTAGAATGAATGACATAACGTCCCCAAATTCGTCAACCAATCGTAATTTATATTAGGAAATGGATGTTGCGCGAATGTTTTCACCAGTGAATATTTCTATGATAAATAATTGTTTTAAAAACACTAGTACATTTAGGAAGCATATTAAACTGTGTACCCACCCTCCGCACCCTCCTAACCCCCCCCCCTGTTATCCCCTCCCAGGAAGGTGAACAAGTCCGGCAGTCTGGTGGACAACCTACTACAGAGGTTGGAGAAATACAGCACCAACCTGGAGAAGATCGTGGACGAGAAGGTCGAGGAACTCAGGCAAGAGAAGCAGAAATCTGAGGAGCTTCTTAAACAGATGCTGCCCGCGTAAGTCATGCCCCAACAGCAGAGGCGTAGCGACCCTTCCCGGCGCCCGGGGACATACTTCCAATTTGGCGCCCCCTCCAGAGCAAATTTTCGATTTGCACCCCCCCTCGAACTTTTCATTTGCACCCCCCCCTCAAACTTTCAATTTGGCCCCCCCCCTAAGGTCGGCGCCCGGGGACATATGTCCCCCCCCGCCCCCCCCCCCCCCCCTCGCTACGCTACTGCCCAACATATGCTGCTCTCGTAAGTCATGTCCCAACAGAAGCTGCTCTCGTAAGTCATGCCCCAACAGATGCTGCCCGCGTAAGTCATGCTATTCTCCAGGATTGAGCTATGTATAACCATGTTTTATGAGCACATTGGCCACATTGGTGAGTTCCTTAATTTATCCCTGTGTCACATCTACAGGAGCGTGGCATACAGGCTGAAGACCGGCCTGACGGTGGAGCCAGAGTTCTAGAACTATTTGACCCTTTAGTTCCTTCTTTAAGTTGACCATCCCTGTGTCACATCTACAGGAGCGTGGCAGACAGACTGAAGGCCGGCCTGACGGTGGAGCCAGAATTCTAGAACTATTTGACCCTTTAGTTCCTTCTTTAAGTTGACCATCCCTGTGTCACATCTACAGGAGCGTTGCAGACAGGCTTAAGGCCGGCCTGACGGTGGAGCCAGAGTTCTACGACTGTGTGACCATCTACTTCAGCGACATCGTCGGCTTCACCGTCATCTGCTCCCAGCTCAAGCCCGTGCAGATAATTAATTTACTTAATGACCTGTACTCCTGTTTTGACGGGATTATCGACTTCTATGACGTTTACAAGGTAGGTGCATAGTTGGGGAAAGGGCCATAAGACACCGTGGGGCTAAGGTAACACAAGACACACCGTTGGGGCAAGGGTTACATAAAGTACACCTTGTTATATAGGTCACACACAGAACACCGTATGGCAGCGGTGACACAAACGTACACCATGCAGTAAATAAAATAAATCTTAATGTTGAAGGAAATGTATTTATTTATGATATTAGTACTGGTAAAACGCTGCTAGTGTACATCAAAACAGTTTTTTTTTCTACATTTACACGGATTTTAACACTAACTACAATTCTTATCTTAACTAAATGTTTAACCATAACTGTGATTCTGGGAAAAAATAAATAAACGAGCACACCGCAACTAATTAGTTTTATCGGGAATTTGTTTAAAGCTTTAAACAGTAATGCAAAACAGTGACATATGCCAAGATGTATTGTAACTGTACAACACAACACATATCATACCATTTCATGCAATACTTTATCAGATATATTAAAATAGAATAAAAGTAAATTCTAAATACCGAAAAAAATATTTATAGATAGGCGACCGAAAAACGCCTTTGCCCAAATCGGAAAAGTTGTAATTTTTCTTTATATTTGTCTCGGTGATCAGGTGGAAACTATCGGTGACGGTTACATGGTCGTCTCCGGCCTGCCCAACCGTAACGGAAACGAACACGCGCGGCAGATCGCCAGGATGTCCCTGGCCTTGCTGAAAGTGATATCTGAGTTTACACCAGTCGAGACGTCGGAAAGTCGGCTTAAGCTTAGGATAGGATTACATTCAGGTTAGGATCTCTATTCTCAAAACTATTAGGATTTCTACAAACCTTTGAAATACTACATTGTTTTTCGCATATTTCTTTGTCAGATCCAAATTTAAAATTGAAGTGTATTTATAAGCAGTTGTTTTTTTTTCAGGAATCTCTTCAGTGAGCACTTCACCCGCCCCTTCCCTCTCCTCTGGGACGAAATAGAAAACATAATTATTGTAGGAAATATATACTTTAACTAGAGTTTAGTCCCTGGAAGTTTTTAGTTCGCGACCCCTCGTAAGCTTTGTGACCTCTCACACCCCTGAGAAAAATATCTGAAAGAAACTCTGCTTAGAATAGTTTTAAACCATGTTTTTAGTTTTGTACCCTGCTTGCCGTTTATGTCCTTTACATTATCCTTACATAAATCCTACACCTCTACGTCGTGTATGTCATCTATGTCCTATGAACTATCCCGACGTCCTAAATCCCCCTCCCTGGGTCCTGTATGTTCGATATACTGTCCTAACATTAGTCCTACACCCCTAGGTCCTGTATGTCCTATATGTCCTATATACTGTCCTAACATATGTCCTCCACCCCCAGGTCCTGTATGTCCTCTATGTCCTATATACTGTCCTAACATATGTCCTCCACCCCCAGGTCCTGTATGTCCTATATGTCCTATATACTGTCCTATGTCCTCCACCCCCAGGTCCTGTGTGTGCTGGTGTAGTCGGTCTAAAGATGCCACGTTATTGTTTGTTTGGTGACTCGGTCAATACGGCGTCAAGGATGGAGTCTAACGGTGTCGGTAAGTTCCCTGGTCTAGTGTGTGGGTACGTTCCCTGGTCTAGTGTGTGGGTAAGTTCCCTGGTCTAGTGTGTGGGTAAGTTCCCTGGTCTAGTGTGTGGGTAAGTTCCCTGGTCTAACGGTGTCGGTAAGTTCCCTGGTCTAACGGTGTCGGTAAGTTCTCTATCTCAATGTGTGGGTAAGTTCCCTGGTCTAGTGTGTGGATAAGTTCCCTGGTCTAACGGTGTCGGTAAGTTCCCTGGTCTAACGGTGTCGGTAAGTTCCCTGGTCTAACGGTGTCGGTAAGTTCCCTGGTCTAACGGTGTCGGTAAGTTCCCTGGTCTAGTGTGTCGGTAAGTTCCCTGGTCTAGTGTGTGGGTAAGTTTTCTGGTCTAACGGTGTCGGTAAGTTCCCTGGTCTAGTGTGTGGGTAAGTTCCCTGGTCTAACGGTGTCGGTAAGTTCCCTGGTCTAACGGTGTCGGTAAGTTCCCTTGGTCTAACGGTGTCGGTAAGTTCCCTGGTCTAACGGTGTCGGTAAGTTCCCTGGTCTAGTGTGTCGGTAAGTTCCCTGGACTAACGGTGTCGGTAAGTTCCCTGGTCTAACGTTGTCGGTAAGTTCCCTGGTCCAGTTTGTCGGTAAGTTCCTTGGTCTAGTGTGTGAGTAAGTTCCCTGGTCTAATGGTGTCGGTAAGTTCCCTGGTCTAACGGTGTCGGTGAGTTCCCTGGTCTAGTGTGTGGGTAAGTTCCCTGGTCTAACGGTGTCGGTAAGCCCTGGTCTAACGGTGTCGGTAAGTTCCCTGGTCTAACGGTGTGGGTAAGTTCCCTGGTTTAACGGTGTCGGTAAGTTCCCTGGTGTAACGGTGTCAGTAAGTTCCCTGGTCTAGTGTGTCGGTAAGTTCCCTGGTCTAGTGTGTCGGTAAGTTCCCTATCTAAGTGTGTCGGTAAGTTCCCTGCCTTAGTGTATGGGTAATTTCGCTGCTTTAGTGTGTGTTTGTTTTTCCAACCGTGTGTGTTCCATGCTATATGTGTTCCCTGCTATGTACGATTCATACAATGTTTATTTCCTGCTGTTTTTGCTTCTTGCTGTGTGATTCTACTGTGCGTATTCCCTTCTATGTGTTTCTTCAGTGTTCCCTATCAAATATGTTCCATGCAGTGTGTGTTCCCTACTGTGCGTCCCTTTCTGTTATATCACATGTGTCGTGTATTCCATACCGAATTGTTTTTAGCAGTTTAAAAGAATCATGACTTTTATAATTTACTTTATAACTCTTTTCATAATTTTTCACTGAATTAATGCACTATACATGTATCAGAACAGTGCACATATTTATAACAAAAGAAGATATTTTTCCCTACCCCTACCACTGTAACATTTCAATAGATTCCGCCCCCCCCCCCCCATTTATTAATTGACAACACAACCGAATGATAAACATCTACTACCCCCCATTCATGTTATATTATACTTGCACTCTCCCAACTAAATGAGCAACCGGTCACGTGATCTCGTCTTTCACACCAGAACTGAAGATCCACATGAGTGGCAGCACCGCGGGCATACTGGAAACTTTTGGAAACTTCCAGATCCAATCTCGCGGCCATATTGAAGTAAAGGTAACGGTTGGGTGTCTTAACGTTCTTGTGGTCACCATTTCAACAGGTAAAACACCTTTACACCTCAGCCCCAACATTCCACGGTACCAATGTGACTACAGTACAACTAGCCTACAGTGCCCTACACCCCTCGAACATTCACTGTGTGGGTTGCGTCACACTAACCCAGCGAACAAGTTATCGATTAGTACAGACTGGCCGAACAAGACATTAATAGATAAAAACAGCTGATATGTTTCATTGGTTCACACGAGTACATAGAGGGACACCAGGGGGCGCTGAGATAGAAACAATAATTAAAACCACATGGTGCAGTTTGTACATTGATGGGGGGGAATGTTATTGATCAGGCCGAGCCTTATGCGACATTTTGTGGTGATATATATATATATATATATATATATATATATATATATATATATATATATATATATATATATATATATATATATATATATATATAACCTAATGATGCATTAATATCCATTTAAAGAAAGTTGTTTTTTCTCAACTGCTTATATAAACTCCGATTATTATAAAAGATATATATATATATATATATATATATATATATATATATATATATATATATATATATATATATATATATATATATATTGACGTGTAATGAATTTAAACAATTTATTTATTTTACAATCTTTTATTATATATTCACATAAAGAAGAAGATAAAATGACTTTCTTCAAACGTAATAATAATCAGTAAACCTATATTTACAAGCGTGGTGAGTTTATGCACTTTTAGATAGAGTTTTCAGCTGCTAAATAAACATTAATAACATCCAATTTTAGCTGTGTTTAAGAATGGCTGTGTTTATATCTAAGCTGTTTATATTACTCTGTGCGTAGCAGATACGTAACTTTTTATAGGTTTTTTTTTTCACATCAGGAGAAGGGCCTAATAATTTTTCCACACCATATAGCAACCCACGATTTTGTTTGTTGTTACATAGCAGCTGCGGTATTTTATTTTATGAAAAAATATTTTCTTTTCTTCTATTTTGTTCATATGCAACACCTTAATATAAAACACTTTAAAATATGTATTATATTTTTTTCTAATTTTGATCGTTCTGTACTTGGGTCGTAGTATTAGGTTCTATATTTACGTTTCATATTTACGTTCAATATTTCTAATTGTATTTCTAAAATGTATTTTTTTATTTCAGGGAAAGGGAACCATGGAGACCTTCTGGCTGCTTGGTGAAAAAGGTCCCTGACCTTTATCTAGAGGACCTTAATTTTCCGACGGTGGCTAGTGATGTTGTAATGAATATGTACATACAACTTACAAATAAAATGCGTGTTTTTACTCACAAGGGTATCTTGAATTTAGCTCCAAATTTTAAAATCACATAAAGACGGCAGACACTAGATTTCTAGTATCTTCTTACCTTTTTATTATGCAATCTTTAAAAAAATAAAAAAAATTAAAATACAAAACGAATTAAAATAAAATATCTTCAGTTGTATTTAATACTAGAGATTCTTGAGTTAAAACATTAATTGAATCAAGGGTGTATAACAAATTCTATTTACATTTTTAATTCATAAAGGTTTACCTCCCTTTTTCTCTTGTAGCATAGTAAAAATGCTTCACAATTGACGGTATAAGTTAATCGATAGGATTTGTTTTTTATCTGTATTATCCCTTAGAAAATTAGAAATATAAAAATTAAAATAATTTACTACATAAAAAAAAAAATTTACAATTATATTTGAAGTTTATTTCACAGTATAAGAAGTGTATTTTTAAATCCCGATGAACATTTAATTGCTTTTTACATTTGTGTTTTTATTTTAAAATGGGCAATAATACTTTTGATAAAATTCAATAAATAAATATAAAAAATATGTGTGTGTGTGGTTTTTGATTGGTCTGGTTTCAAGCGTTCAGCATAGATGTGTAGATAGAAGTGGTCAACAACACAAATGTGTATATAGAAGCGTGCAACTGCAGACAGCTCACATGATGGGCCAAAGACTGATTGCAACCTTACATAATGCATCAGAACTGATCGGACCCACTAGGGTGAATTCAATGTTTTTTTTTCAATTTTCCAATAACAAGTTGATCAATTCAATGTGTTTATCTTAGATTCTGTTTTTTAAATTGCTTGATTTTAAACAGCCTTACCGTTATAACATTAAATACACTGTTTCCGGCGCGGAAAAAAAAATCGAAAATTCCCTTATTATTTTCAGATTTGTCGTGATTACACCCAGTGGGTCAGATTTTTTTTTTCATTGCCTAAAGTATTGTCTAGCCCGATTTGTGCGAAACTCGAGCAGTTCTTTACACGAGTTTTTCGTGACTCCAGCTTTAAATGACTCGCCTTGTTCATGATTTGAGAACGTTGTTCGTAGCTCAGACGTAACTCGAGTCGTTCGTAAATCGAGCTATTCGTAACACAGACTCTACGTAACTCGAGTAGATCGTAAATTGAGTTGCTAGTAACACAGACTCTACGTAACTCGAGTCGTTCGTAAATCGAGTTGTTCGTAACACGAGGTTACCGAGTTGTTCAAAATTTGTTGTTCGTAGCTCGAACGGTGATATGTGGTGTGGGGAAGTAGAAATATAACGGAAAAGGTCAACTTGATTTCAGAATATTGTCTCAATCTATTTTTTCTGTGACTTTATTTCCCGTGATTTTTTTACTATGACTTTATTTCCCGTGACTTTTTTTTCTGTGACTTTATTTCCCGTGATTTTTTACTGTGACTTTATTTAGATTTCCTATGGGCTAGAGGCGGGTGTTTGCAGACTTGTGTTGAACAATTATCCCAATTATCCCAATTATCCCAATTATACCGAGAACTGGAACTTGGCAAGCTGGGCGACCACTTCACCATCGATATTTTGATGTGACGTGCCGAGCTGTTATAAAGCATGTTTCACAACGTGTTTTATATCATGTTTTATAACCCTGTAAAATGTTTTATATCATATTTTTTATAACGTTTTTATCACTTGTCAAAACACCCGATGCAGCTCAACAGTACCCAAGCAAACCTTCTGTCAGATCATTTCAGATCATTGTCAAATTTGATTCAAAAGCCTTGAACAGGAAGAAATACTATAAGAATAGCAAGGAATTAAAAATTATGCAAGTGTGTAATTAGAAAATAAATATAATTAAGTTGTCACATTTTTTCAAAATTAAAAAAATCATTTAAATTAGCAGCCCGACGAAAAATCAATGTTCTTTGGTTTACACCACCGATTACTATACGTGTGTTTATTTTTTATTTTTTTAGACAAGCAGATTAAAAATCCAAACTCGGAGCAACAGGACAGAACACAGCAAAACAATTATGGAAACGATCTTGTGCTTGATTGGTGGTTAAATTTAGAAGTCCTCCATTGTTATACAACAGGTCGAATCAAAACCATCCTTCTAGGCAGAACAAAAACAGTGATTTAATAAACGATTTAAAACATTTCTAAAACAGATTTTTAGCGTTGACTATTTCATTTGGAATTTTAATACTGTTTTTAACCAGAAATGCTTACATGTATTTTAATCTAGATATAGTTTTAAAAAAATGTTTTTGTAAAGTCTTTGTACCAGTGTGATATATTATAGACTTAGTAACGTTTATAAAAGGCTTTGAGAAGTCGTTATAGTTTTGTTCGTCGAAATTTCTTTGAACCATTTCTGTGCCGAAAAATAAGGTTTGGTCAACAGCCGACTAATCTGTTGACAACATTGGTCTACATTGTCGTTAACGATATTCTCAACTATGGTCGAACGACGTCTACACTTTGGCCTAAGCTTTAGTTAATCATCGCCCAACTTCAATGATAGCTTAAGTTGTATTCTACGATCGCTGATTCTGTGTTCAACGATTGGCTAAACTGCGTTTGACAGTTGACTAAGCTGTGTTTGACAGTTAACTAAGCTGTGTTTGACAGTTAACTAAGCTGTGTTTGACAGTTGAATAAACTGTGTTTGACAGTTGCCTAAGCTGTGTTTGACAGTTGACTAAGCTGTGTTTGACAGTTGACTAAGCTGTGTTTGACAGTTGACTAAGCTGTGTTTGACAGTTAACTAAGCTGTGTTTGACAGTTAACTAAGCTGTGTTTGACAGTTAACTAAGCTGTGTTTGACAGTTGAATAAACTGTGTTTGACAATTAACTAAGCTGTGTTTAACAGTTGAATAAAATGTGTTTGACAATTGAATAAGCTGTGTTTGACAATTGACTAAGCTGTGTTTGACAATTGACTAGGCTGTGTTCAACAATTCGATGTGTTCAACAATCACTTAAGATAACGCCCACATCTCTTCTACACCGCGACCAATACACATCCATGACAGATATGGAGTGGGACTTTGCATCAACAAGAGCATCTATTTTCCTGCAGTTCCTGATACTGGCGCTATCGTCCCCAGTCTCGGCCACAGAGCCCACCGCCAGCAACACATCCGTGCACATCGTCGCCCTCGAAAGTTCTGGAAACTCTACCTTCTACGTCCGCTATATCAAATATCTATTTGAGATAGCGCGAGAGTTGGCCGAGAAGCAGTTCGATCAGGACGTCAAGTTCACATTCAGACACATTGAGACCTGCAACAGGACAACTATAGGAGCTATGGTGGCCGAGGTGTATCGCTCCCACAACGTCAGTGTGTTCTTCGGCTCAGGTATTTGGTGGTTTTATGGCTTGGCTTATGATGGTTGTTTTGTTTTTGTCGTTGTTTATGATGGGTGTTTTATTTTTGTCGTTGTTTAGGATGAGGGCTTTATTTTTGTCGTTGTTTATGATTGGCATTTTAGTTTTGTCGTTGTTTATGATGGGTGTTTTGTTTTTGTCGTTGTTTATGATGGGTGTTTTGTTTTTGTCGTTGTTTATGATTGGCATTTTAGTTTTGTCGTTGTTTATGATTGGCATTTTAGTTTTGTCGTTGTTTATGATGGGTGTTTTGTTTTTGTCGTTGTTTATGATGGGTGTTTTATTTTTGTCGTTGTTTATGATTGGCATTTTAGTTTTGTCGTTGTTTATGATGGGTGTTTTATTTTTGTCGTTGTTTATGATGTTTTTTTATTATTTTGTTTTGTATTTGTTGAGTTTTGAGATATTTTGTCGGAGATAATTTATCCATGGTATCATTTTTCCTGATATATTTTGTACTGGTAGGTTTTGACCGTGGGATCATTTGTCTTTGAGATCATTTGTCCTAAGATCATTTGTCATGAGATCATTTGTCTTAGAGATCATTTGTCAATAAGATATTAAGTCTGGGATACTTTGAGATCATTTGTCCTGAGATAATTTGTCCTGAGATCATTTGTCCTGATAAATGTTTTGTCCATGAGATCATTTGTCATTGAGATCATTTGTCCATGAGATATTAAGTCTGGGATACTTTGAGATCATTTGTCCTGTCACCATATATATACATGTGTAGCTTGATCTCAGTTTTTGTTTCTTTACCCCCGAGCAGCCTGTAACGACGGTGTAGAGACACTTGGTTACATGGCGAAGTTCTGGGGCCTGCCCGTCATCACCCCCAGGGGTAACACACCGGAAATACGTAGTGAGAAGTTCCCTAACATCATATCCCTGCACCCCTTCAACACCCAGGGGTTGGTGACCGTGACCTTGTGGCTGCTCAAGAACTATGGCTGGAAGGTCGTCAGGTTCATCATAGCCAAGGACAACAGCCCGTTGACGACCATGGGAGACAAATATAGAGCGTGAGTGGTTTGTGATTTATAAAACATGGGGGGGGGGGGGGGTGAGACAAATATAGAATGTGAGTGGTTTGTGATTTATAAAACATGGGGGGGGGGGGGTGAGACAAATATAGAGTGTGAGTGGCTTGTGATTTATGAAACATTGGGGGGGGGGGAGACAAATATACAGTGTGAGTGGTTTGTGATTTATAAAACATGGGGGGGGGGGGGTGAGACAAATATAGAATGTGAGTGGTTTGTGATTTATAAAACATGGGGGGGGGTGAGACAAATATAGAGTGTGAGTGGCTTGTGATTTATAAAACATGAGGGGGGGGGGGGGTGAGACAAATATAGAGTGTGAGTGGTTTGTGATTTATAAAACATGAGGGGGGGGGGGGTGAGACAAATATAGAGTGTGAGTGGTTTGTGATTTATAAAACATGGGGGGGGGTGAGACAAATATAGAGTGTGAGTGGTTTGTGATTTATAAAACATGGGGGGGTGAGACAAATATAGAGTGTGAGTGGCTTGTGATTTATGAAACATTGGGGGGGGGGGGGAGACAAATATACAGTGTGAGTGGTTTGTGATTTATAAAACATGAGGGGGGGTGAGACAAATATAGAGTGTGAGTGGTTTGTGATTTATAAAACATGAGGGGGGGGGGTGAGACAAATATAGAGTGTGAGTGGTTTGTGATTTATAAAACATGAGGGGGGTGAGACAAATATAGAGTGTGAGTGGTTTGTGATTTATAAAACATGAGGGGGGGGGTGAGACAAATATAGAGTGTGAGTGGTTTGTGATTTATAAAACATGGGGGGGGGTGAGACAAATATAGAGTGTGAGTGGTTTGTGATTTATAAAACATGGGGGGGTGAGACAAATATAGAGTGTGAGTGGCTTGTGATTTATGAAACATTGGGGGGGGGGGAGA